AATGTGGAAATAATAGTTCCTTATATGTTACGTGACACACCCCCCAGTTCTTTCTGGAACAACTGCTGTAGAACTAGTAGCGGCTGTGGCATCTTAGCTGAAGCGAGGCATCGTGTGGCTGTGCCCCTGATCGGTGGCCAGGTGGCCGGTGTCTGCTTGTTTTTATTCCATAGAGAAGCTGGAATCGAACTCATAACCTCCCTAGAGCCATGTCGGGTTTGCGCTAAGCGCTGCTGGGCTCATAACTGTCAGACATTTGGCTCCACACGGGTCAGAGATGGCATCAGGCAATTGATGAGAATTATCTAAAGAACAAGAAGCGAGTGAATGAACGTACGGAATTGTGCAGCTCTTTTATACACAAATGAAAGGTTCATCGCATGATTACGCAGTAGCTGCTGCCTAGCAGGCCACAGCGGCGTTGCGTAGTAATATCGCCACCTCATGAATAAACCTTCTAGCAGGCTTGATATACGACACATCACTTAATCTTCGATCGCCGTCCAGCGCAATCTGCTTGGTACGTGTGGAACAGAAATCAGGCAGCCTTACCTTACCGAGCGGGTTTGGCATCTCGCAGATTTCCGACTACAACTAATATTGCAGTAAACGGCCTATACATGGGCACCTAGGTGTTGTCACTGAATTGATAGCCCGATCATAGGGCAAGGCTCTCGCAGCCGGCACAAAGGCGTCGGTTCATCATCCCAAACCTGTCCACCTGAACAGCTGTCGCCTGGTGGGCAGCTCAGTTCGTGCCTTGCCAAAATGAGTACCAGCCCAGATTTATGGCTGTAGGACTCGGGCTCCTCCTACCCATTCACACTCGGCTGTCCTTAATTCGCGAGGCCGCAGAGGGGTTCGCGTCAGGGATGGCAGACGCACCAGGAGTCTGTGAGACCCGTCTGTTACATCTCTTCCCCCAGTGTCGCCTCCTATTTCATGCCCATAAAGAAGGGACAGCTATGTTTCAAGAACCTCGGCGATGATACTGTATAATCATCTCTTCATCCGCTGAGAGAACAGCCACATTTACTTCACCCATGCTGACGTGGTTAGATCAGCATGCGTGAACCAACACAGCAAGGTCGCGTTCCGTGGTCATGGTCACAAATCGTATGTCCGTCGGCTGTGGTTTGAGTTGCACCCATGCACGGCTGACAACCCTTGGAGGGGACCTTTCCCTGTGCACAGTAAGATGTGGCGGGAGGAGAAAGAACATGGGGGTTAATTTGACGATGCTGATCTCGTTGTGATCGGTAATAGACGGAAGCTTTTCTATTACACAATCCCTAGGATTTCACTGCTCCAGAATTCATCCTACCACTCTCGACGTTGATTGAATTGAGTCCAATAACTAGAGCGCCACCAAAGAAAGAGTGCAGGGAGGGGGGAGGGCGGTGAGGGGTGGGGGAGAGGGGTTGAGGGGAAGGAAGTGCTTTGGGACAAGATAATCTGGGACGGGATGATTGAGACATGATCAATCGGCCACGCATATCATTTAAAAACCCCCCACTTGATCGCATCGTCCCTGGACCAATTCACATCCTAATTTCATTTCCAACACCTCGTCCCAGACCAAGCCGCCGCAAATCAACTCATCGCATATTCATCCGCCACCAAATTACCTGGCGCGAGCAGCTTTTTCCCGACTACCCCCATTTCTTGTTTAGCAATAAATGGCATGCAGTATGGACCTATTTCGTCATCCTGAGCTGCTTGGCGACGCCGCAAAGCGGATCGATGACCTAAAGTACCAGAGGAGATCAGTTGAGTGCTTCGAACGCACGAAGAAACATCTTCAAACTCCGTTACTGGAGTCAAATGTTCTCAAAAAATGCTCCACATTCGTCAAAGCGCTCAATGAGGGCGTTACTGACAGTGGCTTTTGCCTGGAGGTTTCCAAATTGACATTGGATGAGTTGGGCTTTTGCTCCATCTCTTTCGACGAGAGGCGACTGAAGACGATACGACGATCCTTCAAGGCATCGCACGTCCGAGCATATATGACGTCGCAGCATGTTTCTTGCATCAATCGCCAAGAGATCTTCAGGCGATTAACATTCTATTGCAAAGGAAAGAATGAGGTATTCCAAAAAATTTACGCCTCTGCAAGACAAGCCAAGGAAAATACAGATACCGGGCGAGGCGACACATCGGTGTTATCAGGAGAAACTAGAGCACGAAAGAGACGCCGGCTGGAATCGCCATCATGTGTTCAAAAAAGCCTAGGCACACAAGGCACTGCCATCGCGGCGAAGAGTGGCGACGACTCTACTGAGATCGCATCTGACTCGCTCTTCTTGTCTCGAAACAAGAGTATCCCAGATAACAACCAGAACAAGACAGTCCAGCAGTCATCCACGCGGCCAGAACGAAGGCATCCACTTGTCACTTCGCCACCGCCAGCCAAAGAAAACCGAGGTAATGTCTCGAGGGATGTACAAGTGATTACTTGTTGACGTGGTACCGACAGAAATGAAGCATATGTGCACGAATGCGCCGGCTAGTATTGTCGCAGATTTGCCTGAGCCATTTAGAGGGGCCGTACAGAACAGCCGCCTCTTCAAGTGGGAAAGAAATCAGGGCTACGCAACAACGGGCTGCTTGGCGACTCTATTCCCGAAAGACAACACCCAAGATGTCTCTGTCACCCTGTGGTGTGGCAACTTCGACGGCTATCGTCTCACAAGCCTCTTCGGTCTTCAGCATGCCATGTAATCTCAGGCTTGAAAATACACACTACCCCCCCTGACATAAACACCGTATCCTGCAGGGACGAAATGGCCTTTGTATTCTGTAGACGCGACTTCATTATCAATGTGCGTCTTGTAGTCACCCGTCTGCTGATTGTAAATCGAAAGGTAGTAACCCTTGAAGTATATGGTTCGAGGGTTCGCGGTCGGAAGGAAAGCCTGAGTTATATCTTTCTCTGCTTTCCCGGCGAGAGCTTCATCGCCGACCTTAGAAGACAGAGCTTTGTTAGCCTGGAAATGACGTGAATACTGGCGTTATCCTGGACTTTATTACCGCCATATCGAAGATAACTTGCGAAAGGGTATGCTTCTGTCTGGACACTATGATCCCTGTGTAAATGTCGCCGCCCTCCGCGAGCTCAGTAGTCGTATTATGGCAGGAGAGTCTTATGTCTTGGATACCTGGAATGTCGCGCTCGCCCATGAAAAGATCTGTCGGGTATATTTAGGTGGGCGCTCGACAGAAAAGAACGTTTCTCTTTGTTGTATGTGCCAGATGTCGATGATGCCACCGAAAGGTAAAGAGGGGAGGCGGGGTTGCAAGCATGTGACATCCCCGCTTTATCGTAGTGTGCGCCAATAAGGAAAGCAAAATGATTGTGCCACGATCCGGACATCTCCACCCACCGTTGCAGGCTGCACCCTGCGGCAAATTTGCGCCCGACGGCTTCTCGGGCAACTGGGGCTTTGCGGCCAACAATGACAATTATCTGGCCCGTCTGCTCGCGACTAGTTGTCGATATGCCTCTTTTCTTTTCTAACGACGCAGGGGGGGGATAACCATTTGCACAGGAGACTAAGCATGGTGGGGGGAAAGGGCCTGAGAGGCTTGACCGCTTTTGACTTGTTGTCCTTGACGTCCGTCACCTCGCCTCGGCGGTTGGTGACCCTGACGCCCCTTCTTCGGGTCCGCCACCATCTCGCGCCGCATCTTCGTCCGTCTCTCGCGCCCCCCGCTCCTTCTCCGTCTGCTCCACCGCCGCCGCCGCCGGCCTTGCGTAAGCGCTCTTTGTTCCTGCACCGCCGCCTCGCACGCTCCTCGCGCGACATCTCCTGCCGCGCCACGGGCATGCCCGCGCCCGCGCCGGCTTGTAGTGCCAGCTGCTGAGGGCGTCGATCCGCGCGCACACGTCCCGCCACACAGCCTCGACCTCCTTTCCTCGCACACCAGCTCGTCATCTGCCTGGTTGACGTAGCTGTCCGGGTTGGCCTTGTTCACGTGCTCCTCCTCGTATTGCTATCGTCAAGATCTACCATGCCGCACCGTGTGCTCTCCGGCACGGCGAAAGGCCGACTCCGCAGCAACTCGTCAACCTAACGGCTGGTAAATGGCCACCTGTGCACATACGCCTTGGGAAGCCATAGGTCCCGACCTTTGATTTGCCTCGCGCCTGCTGAGCCAGTGGCGCAGCGATGAGCATGGCTTAGCCGGCCCGCCCCAGACAGTATATTTTGTTGGCGACACGCTCGAGAGCGATATCTCAACACAAAGGCCTACAACGGCTGGTACAGTATCCTTGTCACGGTACCGAGCCGGCCTACATCCCCCGCGCCATCGTTGACAATGTTCCCGACGCTGTGAACCACGCATCTAGCGCGAAATGCGCCAGGTGCCCTCATCGCTGCACAGGAGCCTCCTCAGCGGGCAGGGCACCTCAACGGGCCACCGAAGAGACGGAGAACGCAGCCGTTGCTGCACTAGCGGTAGACGTCAATCATGACTGATGTGTCGGGTACGTACCTAAGCGACAGGCGTTTACCAACTTAAGGGCGGCGACACAGGCAGCGAGAAGCGGGGAATCGTGCTGAAGAAGAACAATGCCAACGTACGAGTGGCTTAGCACCTTGCCTCAAGGGAGCGGCCGCAGACGCCTCAGCAAGACTGTGCTTGTTTCCAGCACGCAACGCAATTGTTAGCTTCGCCTCACCTAAGTGTCACGGGTCTTGCGTTGATGCTTGATAAGTAACACGTGCCATTGCACGTGATACCCCATTCATATTCTGTCAGCAAGGAAGCTCCTTTCTGCCTTTCTCTTGCTTCCTTGCGCTACGTCTTGTAGTTATCTAGAATCGACCCATACGGTTCCCTCAATTCGAACAATCAGTTGGGACCGCATGACTAATCTCGATCCCGACGTGATTCCCTCACACCAAGGTAGCACACGGCCTGCAAATCCCTAATGATAGCCATCGTGCTTCTGGCCAACTGCGAACCAATAGAGTTCTATCGTAATCATACAGGTGCTATCTCTCCGCCAATACCTCTGGGTCCTTCTGGGCTTCGCGAAGGATCTCCTTCATCGAGGAATAGAGCTCTGGCTCCAGCCTCTTCCACCTCCCACCGCCTGGGAATACCCTCCTTCGCAGTCTGTTGACCCATGGGATCAATGGCCGATAGTACGGTGTGAAATTTCTATGTGCCTTATTGAGAAAGTCTTCCTCGTCAGCGATTTCACCCTTCTTAGCTGCAACCAATTTATCGTTATTCTCGTAGTTCCAATCATCTAACCCAGTTGGGCCAATGCCGTTGCCTTGAGCGTCATAGTGGATACATATCCAGAAGAGCACCCAGAAGAATGATTCGAGGTCGTGCATGAACGTGTGTTGCTCGCCCAGGAGCGCCCCGATTGCCATGAAAGCCCTCGTGCCAGTCTTTCCCTGTGCTCCGGAGGCACCATCTCGTTGCTGCTTGATGGCGAGGTCAAGGTCAATCAAGAACGAAGGCCAGGATCGGTTGTCCTTGTCCTCGTTGATCATAAGGTTGTTGATGGAGATGTCTCTGTGTAGAAAACCAGCCTTATGCAACGACTGATGACCTTCAAGGCAGCCCTCCAGGGTGGCAAGCAGCGCCACACGGCAGCTTGCCTTGTAGATCGGCTTCCCGTAGTCTCGAAGAATGACCCGCCGGTGTACGCGGTTCGGGAGGGCTTCCACGCTTGCCTTGACCGGAGATGTTGAACCGGATCTTTTGCTCAGCGGCAGAGCGGCGCCAGTTTCGCTGGACGGTCGCTTCATGCCAGTGCCGCTACTTCGCCCTTTGTGCGACACTCTAGACGCGCCAGCACCTGATGGCAGCATCGCACGTCCTGATCGATAATTCGTAGCTTTAGTGAGGTCCAGTCCCTTTCGAACATTGCTTTGGACGTCATCTTCCGCATCGCGGACGCGAACGGTTTCATGGTGGTAGTATCGGGCAACGTTAATGACACCTTTCTCAGTCGCTTCCTGGACAAGTATACCCTCTTCGTCTCGGTCCGTGTACTGCCAGGAGTCCTTGATAACGAGCGGGGTCTTGGGGTCTTCTTTGCGATGTGCTCTCCAACAGGTTGTCGCCCGACCGGCAATGCACCGTGCTCGCTTCATAACATCATCAATGATGAGACGCTCTGTTTTGCCGATTCGTTCGATCTCGATATACTGCTGGCCGCCGGATGCTATAATGGTAGGATCAAACCCAAGCATCTCCTTGTTCATTCGCAGAAATCCTAGGATTGCCGTCGCAAACTGCAGCGCACCATGCTTCTTGTTGATGTCGAATTGTTCGGAGGCGATCCCCCCAAGTCGGTCAAACTCCCATACCCTCATAAGCGACCCGCAGAGAGTAAAGCCCAAGACGAAGCGACGGGTGCCTTGAGCCGCGAATACCTCTCTTGCATATCTTGCGAGATCAATCCATGCAATCGATGCTATGTCGGCCTTTGGATTGCTTTTCAGTTCGCCGGCAACGAGGATGTGTGACCAACGATATCTCGAATCCTCAGAATTAGGATCATATGTGATATCGTCATTGACAAAGCCGATGTCCATGCTGCGCTTGCCTGTAGAGCCGACTAGTGGTGTCCTCGGCTGCGCCAGCAGCTTTCGCCGAGCTGCTGGATGCGAAATGCGATCGCCCGCGAATTCTTCTAGCTTCCGTATTAGGCCACCGAACCAAGTCAGCACATCGCTCTCTTTGGCGCCTGCCGGCCATCCACTCCACCCGTCCTTGAAGAGTGGATTGTCGCCTTCTGTACATCTGCGAAAGACTGCCTCAGAAACCATGTCGAGGTCTGGCACGTCTCCAAAGAAGGCTTCGTGGAAATTGGGAAGTCCGACATAGACATGTTCGAGCTCCAACTTAAGGATCGGGTCGACATTCTGGCGGGATTCTGACGAGTTCACGAGGCCGCTCGTGTTCTGACTCAACGGCGTTTGTTGGATCGACGAGAGTGTCGGTCGGGGAGGCGGGGTGGATTCGGCGACTGCGCTGTAGACCCGGTTCCAAATGAGAGAATCATCAGGTTTGTCGGCGAGCGCCACATTCAACAGCGGTTTGATACGGTCGACATCGAACTCGCAGGAGTTGACAGCCGAGTTGAGCCGTAGCAAGTCGCCGTACAAGTTCCTGTCCCTACCGGCGGAGCAAAGGAGACGCGAAGCACGAAGTGATTGGAGTGCCGAAAGGAGATCAAGTGTGAGGGTTTGGATATCTTCGAACTGGTTAGAGAAGTGCAAGGGACGGGGTAGTGAGACGTGCCTTCTCGACCTAGCTCATCAAGCGCGTCTGGGGACCGCAGGATGCTACTGCCATCACAGATCGAACCGAACGAAGCACGGAAGACGTCAAGGCCATTTCCAATGGGAAAATCCTCGATGATCTTTGAGCGGTTTTGATCCGTCATGGCGGCCGCCTCGTCGTTGCAATGTGTCCGGATGGAAGGGAGTGTTGAGATTTTGCTGGGTAAAAAGCGCGTCTGGCCAACAGGTCAGGTTTGGGGCAGTGGCGGAGCGCTTCTAGTGCCGCACTATCAGCCTTGCGCGGTTATGACACGAGTAAGCGTTACTTCGTAGCCTCGCTGTAGACTTTCCCCGCAACCCAGGGGTAAGGGGTGTAGTACAAGACGCACACTTTATTACCCGTTGATCTTGGTGTGGGGCCACAGCAGCCCAACTAAGTGTCTTCGCCACTTAGTTGGCCCAAAAAATCCGGCACAGCCCAAAAAATCCGGCACAGCAGCCCACCTCCAAAACGTCAACCCTATGCATCTCAACCGCGTTTTCTCGCGCAACTTGACTTTATTTACGTATATTTTGCCGGAATACATTATGACAGATAACATGGCTACCCTGGAGGCAGCAAAGCCGTTCTGGCGTCTCGTCGCGACCCCAGAGCCGATGTTCGTCGCTCAACAACACCAAAAGAACGCCTCTTTCCGTGCGAGATGCGGCCATCCGTTACAATGTGAAGAGCTCATCCGTACAGAGAGCCATTAATTTCATAAGAAACCCCTTTCCCGTGCTCCAGGGCGTCCATTGGCGCTGACGGAGGACGAAGACGACGCCCTGGTTGCGTATGTACAGTGGATGGAACGCACCGGCATGCCCGCCACGAGAGAGCAACTTGAAGCTGTTGCAAATGCAATAAGAATGCGTCGAGATCCCAATGCCCGCCCGGTCTCGTCAAGTTGGCTTGACAATTGGCGTGGAAGTCATCCTGCGATCGCGAAGACGTATCTCAAAGCAGTTGAACGAGCCCGGAAGTCCTTTGAAGCCCACGGGGTAGAAGAAGTCGAATTTTTCTACTCAAAGCTTCGAGAAATCATCACCAGCTACCGTATTGGCAGTTCAGAGATCTGGAATGAAGACGAGGCCGGAATACGCATTGGGTGCCTGCGAGAACGCATCCAAGTTCTCATCACGCGCACCACTAGAGTCAAGAGCACCCGGCCCCGAGTTTTAGACCCAGCAAACCGAGAATCCTGCACGGTAATTGCCTCAGTTAACGCAGTGGGGGACTCTCTTCCACCCTGGCTTGTTTTCCAACATTACCCTACCACCAACTGGGCCGGCATCGACATCATGACAGGCGTACGGTTTGCCCAGTCGCCAACTGGCTTTTCCAACGCAGAGATACACCTTGAGTGGGCAAGGCATTTCAACTGCTGGTCTTGGGCATCGTCAGCGCAAGCAAAACAGTCAGGAAATTCGCTGGAAGAGTGGTTCGGCTGTGACGAGCATCTTCGGCGCCCCAACATGGGGATGAGTCGCGTGGAGGCGCCGCCAAACCAACGGCCTGACGACGAGAAGATCTACCGATTGCTTGTTGTGGATGGCTTTACAGGGCATACCACCCTTGACTTTGCTGAGTATTGTATCAAGTTTGATATCATCATTGCTATTTTCCTCCACATTCCACCCACCTCATGCAGCCGCTTGATGTTGGGGTATTCCAGCCACTAAAGTAAGCACATCAGAAAGCGCTTCGAAGTCGCTCGCAGAAGGCAACATATCATTTTCGCGGGTCAACTTCCTCACAGCTTTTCAGGACGTATATGAGGCTGGCTTCACGCGGCATAACATTATGGCGGCATTTGAAAAACAGGCCTCTTTCCTGTCGACCCAGCGCCGGTGATCACCAAGATCCTCCACGAGCAGCTACGACAACAGCAGCCGATCAATCCTGCATACGCCTCGCTCCTACCCTCGGAGACGCGTTTCCAAGTCGCCGCGGATGCCCTCAATGATATCCGGCAACGGTATGGGCCCCTCATGAGCTCGCCATCACGAGAAAACTTGCGGGTTCTTGCGAAAGTGAACACCGAGTCTATCGCGATGGCGTCACATTCCCAGGGCATAGTCAGCGATAAGAATAGCCGAACCCAGGCGTATGCGAATCGAATGAAGAGAGGCAAGATTGTCAGGCCGCGCGGAGAGTTTATCACGAGCTCCAGCATGGCCGACATCACCCGGGAGTATGAGGAGCTCCAGGCAAAGCAAACCCGGCTTCAAACGCGCCAGGAGATAAGGATGCATCTTAAACGAGTTCGTGGAGAGATGCAGAAGATCCGAGAAGACTATAAAGTCGGGAAGAAGCAGTTAGTCAATGGCAGAGTCAAGACATTGAACTTTAAGCCCTGGCTAGAGTTTACGGGACGAGACGTTGAGTTCTACACTCTGGAGCAAAGTTGCGATACCCTCATGCGGGAGCTCAAAGAGCCATCCAAGGAATCCTTTTCTATGATACCACGAAGAGAAATAACTCCGCCAGAGATGTCAGGGCGCGCGCAGCGACCCGACCTCGCCCACTTACAGATATGTCGTCGTTGCCCGGCAGTGACGATACCGTCTATTTCACAGGCCTCGATCTTGACAAACATAGTGAGGATGGCGCCGACGATGAAGACGAGGACAATTTACTCGACACGCAAGAGAATATACCCTCATCGCCGCCGTTAGCAGCGGTTGAAGCGGTAGTCGATACACCATGCCCTCGACCGCGCACCCGATCGTCCAACAAGATACAGCAGACGCTCCAGGAACACAGGTATGGATAAAATAGCTCTCAGAGACGCACAACAGGCGAAATTACTACATAATACGTCTATTTGGACTCACAAACGCGGTCTTCCTATCTCTTCGACTGGAAGGCGGCAGCTCCTAAATAGGCCCAAAGACGTGATTTTTTCACTTTTCGTTGTTACTTGCGTCTTTAGGTGATCCGCAGCTATTGATCACATGTATATTTTAGCTATTTGAAGTCGCATTGACGGCACCATGAAGCGAAGCGTAGAATTTCCTTGATTTTGCACCCCAAATTGAGGACCCTGCTGTGCCGGATTTTTTGGGCTGTGCCGGATTTTTTGGGCCAACTAAGTGGCGAAGACACTTAGTTGGGCTGCTGTGGCCCCACACCAAGATCAACGGGTAATAATGGGCTTTTTTGCACGGCGGCTGGCCAGCCCGGCCTCAACGCACCAACCCAAGTGCGTTCAAGACTGCTAAGCCGCAGACCACTTGTCACGACATTGAGTGAGGTAAAGGGGCAATAGCACGGCGAGAAAGGTGAGAGAATACGTATTCGCACTGCTGTGGCTTGCCATCCTCGTTCTCGCCAGAGCAGATAGCCACGTACACCCCTTGTCTCGCTTGGCCGACTTTTAGCCGAAGTGACCTACTACTTTTATGATGTGATTACCAAACAGCCCCGCGAATCACGAGCATTTTGTTGCCTGGGTGAATGGATGATATTGAAGATCGGTCGATAGGGGATCCCTAGAGGTCTTCGTTCAGCGAAAAGTTTGATCGCACGACTGAGGAGTGTGAGCACATAGACGAGAGAGTTGAGGAGCTCCATCATAGAAGAGCCCCCTCCAACGCCCACGAAATGATCGCGTCGCGTCGCGAAGCCTAGCAGAAAGTGTTGCGATTGAACTTACTTCTATTCAATTCTGTCTGACAGCTCTCAACATACATATATACATAGTGGCACGTCCGTGCCACTATCCAGTGACTCACCACTTGTAACTGCTGCCTAAACATGTCTTGGTCCATGTCTCATATCAAGTCAACAGAAAGATCCGCGACACCACGCGACAGCTTGAAGAATTAGCGGATAGGACGACGCGAAGTGCCAGAATCGCAACGTGTGCGACGTCAAATGAGGCCACGACCAATGGTGCGGTCGAGCGGCGGAGGGTCGGCAGCAGCAGCAACGACAGCGTCAGGAATGCAAGACGATGCTCCAGATGACCTTGAACCTGCTGAACGCGTCCCGTCAAGAGATCCAGAGGCCAAGCCGAGCGGTTCTCGAGCAAAATGAAACCATCAATGGACAGCACCGGGTGATATAAGAGCTGAGCTAGCATGTGAAAGGGACGGGCGTTGAATGAGGCATTTGCGGACGCCGTGCGGGCATCGTTGAGTCAGGCAAAGAGCCGCAGCAGGCTATCATCGACGCAGCCGAGAGAAGGCGGAAGAATTCTCGCCCTCCAAAGACGCGAAGATTGATAGGAGATGAAGGTGTTCCGTTGTTGTTGTTGTTGTATTTTTCGTCCAACGACCTTTGGGTCGCTCAGGTCCCCGAGACGGGGCACAGGACGTGCAGAGCTGCTGGAAGATTATACTCCTCTTATCGATACAGGTGTGGGGCCGGCCCACAAAATGCGAAACGAAATGAGAGCCACCTTGCCCCTTTCACAGAGAATAAACAAACCACCATCCTGCATTTCATCGGCTCAGAGGCGCTTCTATGTTCAGCCTGCTGCCCGTCAGCGGGACGTTCAGGCGCGACAACGTTGTCTTTCAAATCGGCCTTACGTGGCCGTGTTCGGGAGAGAGAAGTAGCTGCAAAGCAGCTCGATTGGCCCGGGCGGACAAAGGGTGTTACATCACCCTCTGCCTGGCCGAGTCGGGAGAGAAAACACACAAAAGAGAATGAGAAAGGAGGGGAGGAGGTGCAGCCGCCTAGTGGCGAGGGCAGATCGTCCCAAAGAACGAGCTCGCCTTCGCCATCTTGACGAACTGGTCGAATTCTCTACCTATTGCACGATTGACTGCCGCGATCGGTGAGGGTAGTAGATGAAGGTGTTCCGCCGATCAGCGAAGGAGCCTTAGGGTAGGTGCGAGGGCATGTAATGTACCAGCATCCCTTGACTTAGGGGGACGCGTCGACCCTTTCACTCATAGAATATACAGGCCGCGACGCAAAACGCCGACATTGACGGTGTGGATGAAGGACAGGCATGTCATTGCAGGGCTGTGAGAATCCCAAGAGCACGCTGAAAATATTTACGAGAAATTTGAAGGCAGGGGCGAAGATGCAGCTTGGATGAAGTCATTTAACAAGTTGCAGCTTGTTACGAAACTATGCACCTTCTTCGTCTGTGTTGACTTGATATGAGACATGGACCAAGACATGTTTAGGCAGCAGTTACAAGTGGTGAGTCACTGGGTAGTGGCACGGACGTGCCACTATGTATATATGTATGTTGAGAGCTGTCAGACAGAATTGAATAGAAGCAAGTTCAATCGCAACAGTCTGCCTTTTCATACGACGGCTCCAAAATGCCAAAGTAAATCTTCCGTCCTCCCCGGTTCTTCAACTCATGTACCTCGCATCCGTCGGTATCGTCTGCGTCCAATAAGTCAGCCTGGAAATATTCTTCCGGTGACTCGCCACGGGTTGTCGCGAATGGTTCCCATTTGTTTTTTGGCTCAAGTGAAGGCATGAGTTTGCCTTTACGGCGGGAGATGTTGATCTTGCGGTAGCATATCGCGTAGACGCGCTCACCCGGTGTCATCATATCGCCCTTCGCATCACTGTGCGTTTCATGACCAGCTTCGGCCTCAATATCAGCCGCGCCAGAGGGGTCTCCCTGCGCGGTGCTAACTGGTATCGTGGCCTTTCCTGAGCCGCTGACGGAGCTCTGCTGGCCACGAGACAATTTTGCGTCTGTAAATGTGCGGAATGCAGTCACGAAGCGAGGGTTCAACTTGCGCCGTTTGCAAGCCTCAAGCCAGATCTGGATGCTTTGCCCTGTCTCCTGCCCAAAAGCTGCATCCTCAAAGAGGCTATTGGGATTGTTAAGCGAATAGATGTTCCCCTTTCGAGCAGCGACATGTAGCATGCTGGCCATGTCGTTCTCGAACGAGAGGGCCGTAAATTTGGTCGCAAAAACTTTAAAAAAGCTCCTCGACCCAGTGCTCATGAGCCCTTCAAAATCTTCATCTGGCTGAATGGAATAGTCTGTAGGCTTGACCGCGTAGGGTCTCACAGAATCCTGGTGGGGATGGCGGATGTCTGGGACGAAGCTTGCTAAAGCTACTTGGCTTGGAAGGAAGGGTGAACTTGTGAAAATGAAAGTAGCACCCATTGCGTGGCGCGCTAAATTCGGCGTGGGTGAAGAAGTTTTTCGAGCTATTGGTCGCGACACTGGTGAAGCGGGTGTACGTAGGGAGTTCTCCGTGATAGTGGGCCAACGTAATGTGATCGCGACCCGGCCCGGCAAACTCGGTCGATTGTGCTCTTATAGTTATGTGATTTCCGCCGTGACCCCCCCAAAGTCTACTGTGCGATTAGGACGCGATTGGAACCACTGTAGCGACGTGGTATACGGCTACATATATCAGCAGGCAGGGCCGGCCTTATTGGCCAGCTGGCCACACTGCTTAATTAATTTGCCAAAACGTACCATTGCAGACGGGTGCGCCATTCCACCACACCTTCGGCTTGGCCCGATATGCACTCGTGCGAAGTACATGAATGTTGCAGGTCTGGAACTTTTGCAACGATGGACAGGACGAAAGAACACCGCCGAATCAGCAGCATCAAAGTGATGCGGCATTTTCTGTACCATTCAAGTTAGGATACCAGATGGCTCATTCGTGAAGTTGAGAAATACGGGCTGTGTCCACTACCTTCAACCAAATCAGGCTAGGCTTCGGGTCCGTCCCTGAACTGACCTAAAAACGCGGGTTCCGATGGGCCGAAAAGCGATGGAGGAGGAGTGTGCCAAGAAGGGCGCGGCGCGGGCACAGGGACGGGACGGCAGACACTACCACTTGGTGGTGTGGGCCTTGCTCGTGCCCGCACCAGTTTGATGGGATTCTCCTTGGCTGGATGAAATTGTGGAGCCCATCGTCGCGTGCAGGCTACCCGGCCACACTCCCGCCTTCAGGGCCTTACCGGGGCCCTAACTCCTCTCTGTCGGGGGGCACGACCGAAGACTTTAGGAGAGTTCATCTTCGCTCGCGAGCGTGTTTCTGCTTTGCCCTCGCGCGCCAACAGAACCCACGACGCAAGAGGGATACCAGCAGCTAGCTGCGGTTGGTTTTCCTCCCTGAAGCCAAGCCGCGCGCGAGCGGCCTCTGATTCCTTCGAGGGTTTTCCCTCCCGCTACGCCTAGGGCCATTTTTGCCACCTGGTTCCGCCTTTCGCGCTTTATGGCGCTCTGAAGATGACATCAACCCGGCGGAGGTGACGTCAAGGGCAGCGCGGTAATCGGCGGTAATCTGCGGGGTAATCCGCTGACCGCCCACCAAAGCCAGACCACCTGTGACATCCAACTTGCTATCAGATCCCTTGGCCAGGCGATTCGAGCGCATCGGTTCCATGGACGATCTGAGCCGCGCCGTCGAGGTTGCTGATATGGCAGTGGCTGCCACGCCTCAGGACCACCCCGATCTTGCTAGGCGGTTGAGCAACCTTGGAAACAATCTCGGCAGGCGATTCGAGCGCACCGATTCCATGGACGATCTGGACCACGCCATCGAGGTCGCTGATATGGCAGTGGCTGCCACGCCTCAGGACCACCCCGATCTTGCTAGGCGGTTGAGCAACCTTGGAAACAATCTCGGCAGCCGATTCGAGCGCACCGATTCCATGGACGATCTGGACCACGCCACCGAGGTTGCGCATATGGCAGTGGATGCCACGCCTCAGGACCACCCCGATCGAGCTGGGTGGTTGAACAACCTTAGAAACCGCCTCGGCAGGCGATTTGAGCGCACCGGTTCCATGGACGATCTGGACCGCGCCCTGTCCTCGTACAAAGATGGTTGGCGTTGCGAAGTCGCTCCCCCGTCTAAACGTATTCATCTGGCTTGGAAGGCCGCTAGCATTCTTACCCGACGGTTGAATTGGGATGAATCAAGTCAGCTGCTGGAGGAAGCCGCAAGGCTCCTCCCGACCGTGAGCCCACGATCCCTGCAGAATGCCGACAAGCAGCACATGCTTTCAGATTTTGCTGGCTTGTCTTCCATGGCCGCGGCTACGGCCTTGAATGCGGGAAAGGAGGCTCATCATGCCCTGGAGCTCCTTGAACTCGGTCGTGGCGTTATTGCCAGTCTCTTGTTGGAGATGCGTACGGACGTCTCAGACCTGGAAGAGCAGCATCCCGGGTTAGCAGCAGAGTTTAAATCCCTGAGGGATGAGCTGGACTCACCCGCTGACAGGACAATGCTCCCGACCTCTCGTGAGAGCCCACTTTCCCAGGAATCGCAGCTAGAACGGCACCGTGAAGCAGAGATCCGGTTCAACGAAGTTGTTCACGAGATTCGCACTCACCCTGGATTCGAGGACTTTTTGCACCCGCCCGCGGCCGAGCAGTTGATGACCGCGGCACGTCTAGACCCCATCGTTGTTATTAACGCCCATTCCTTGTGGTGTGACGCATTCATTGTTGACCTACATGATATCAAGGCGTTGCAGTTGCCAAACTTGAATCTGCAAGACGCCAAGAGAAACGTCAAACGTCTAAGATCATCCAACTCATCTGAAGGATTGTCAGTTCTAGAGTGGCTATTGATAGTCGCCGCGTGTCCTATTATGGACGCCCTAGGCTTCAAGCAACCTCCCTCAAATGACGATTGGCCTCATGTTTGGTGGATTCTTACAGGGCAACTCAGCCAGCTACCATTCCATGCGGCAGGACGGCATGTCAAAGGGTCCAGCGATTCCGTGCTCCACAGAGTCATCTCATCTTACGGAACGTCCATCAAGGCGCTAATGGACCGGAGACGGCAAAATGATCTAGATTCCACACAACTTGTGCCAGGAGCTGCCTTGCTCCTTGCTATGGAAGAGACGCCTGGCCAATTTGCGCTTCCCTTTGCCACACACGAAGTGGAAATGCTCAATGGTCTCTGCCCTTCGCTGAGATTGAAACCAGTCATGCCACCAGGACGCCGACAAAATGTTCTGGCACACCTTAGCTCATGCACAATATTTCATTTTGCCGGCCACCGGAACACTGATCCCACTGAACCGTCGAAAAGCTCGCTGCTGTTGGACGACTGGGAGGAGAGCCCATTGACTGTTGCGGATCTCCGCGACCACAGTATTCAAGAAAGCTCACCATTCCTTGCCTACCTGTCTGCCTGCTCAACTGGCGCAAATGAGGTGGAGAGGTTTGCCGAGGAGGCTATCCATCTCACCAGCGCCTGCCAACTCGCCGGCTTCGACACGTCGTTGGAACATTGTGGGAAGTTTGGGATGAGCACTGTGTTGATGTGGCGCGGGTCCTATATGAGACGCTCAGGGACGAAGGCATGACTGACACGGCTATATGTCGAGGGCTGCATCGAGCCGTGAGAGCTCTTCGAGAACGAGAGCGTGCATATATCGGCGGAAGCGACACTCACGCAGTTGTAACCCAAGATGGAGCGCACAATGATGTGGCCGATGAACAGGACGCCCGTTCCTCCGCCCGAGAAGAAAATTACCTGAGAGAAGGGAGAATTGTGGTGCTATGTGGAAGGCCCAACACAAGACAGGCGACGTTCCTATCCTGGGTCCCGTATGTCCATTTTGGGCGCTCTCACGGTAAAACTCACCTGAGGTAGTGGGAATGCGACTTTACCCGGACGACAGGACACTCGGCACGTGGCAACATCCTGTTAGTCTGCTCCTCAGTCACTCTGGCCGGCCATGTCTGCCTCCTGCGAGAAGCTATCGTCCGCTTCGGTGTTGACTTGACCTGAATCGGTTCGAATTTTGCATGTTCGGTCTTTAGTGCATTTATGAGCAACCTGCGACGTCTGGCGTACCAACCGGCTCAAGGTCGAAGTATTCCATCCTGCCGGGCAAGAGTGTCTGCACAATGCATGGTTCGTACTGTCCCATCCCATTTTGTCGCATGGTGGCATGCCAAGCTTGTGACTGGGATCTGACCGTGTATCCTCATCTGTAGAACGGTGAAGGGAGATTGTCACGGAACACCTCATGCACTTTGAGGCACGGGTTAGCAGCGGTGTTCTGTAGTATCGTCTTCCTCCTCGAGGCTGACATCCGTGAGGTTCCAGAGTCTCTGGGACGTAGGTAGGACAGCCCCGTGGCTGGCGAGATGCTGCACCCGGGCCTCTTCGACGGCTTCTACCAGCCATACGTGGACGCGGTGTGGGCCAAGTACAGCAAGGAGGACTTGACCGTGGACACGCAGTCCATCTGGGGCCAGGTCAAGGGCCGCGTCGAGGCGGGCGAGAAGCTGACGTTTGGCGCCGTCTCCTTTGGGACGAGCGACGTCTTCAGCTGCAGCACGGGCCCGTTTGTGGGCGGCCCGGGCGTGACGGGCGAGCAGCTCAACATCGGGGCGCGGCTGGCGGCGGCGCTGAACCGCTCGACGCTGCTCGACAACGCGCAGCAGCCCGAGGGCGAAAAGGTCAAGCTGTACTACGGCCACGCCGTCACCAATCATTACGCCCGCGCCTGCCACGAGACGAGCGTCGGCGGCCGCGGCTATGCGTTTCCCTATGACGACGTCGGCGCCTCCCGCGACCAGCCGGACCAGTCGGGCTTTGTCAACGCTCCCAACCCGAGGGAGCTGACCATTGGCGTCGGGAAGCCCCTGGACGGCTGACGGGTTGCATTCATCGGTTGACTTGCAAGTTTGATTGGTGCGATGTTGGTCGAATTCCGGACACGCGTGAGTTGATTGGTACGATCTGATGGAGCTTTGGGTGGCAGCTTGTTTTTCTGTCTCGATGCCGGAGGACTGCCACCCACCTGCGGCTGCGCTGCAAGATCAGGGTGGGCTGTCGCACGAAAGAGTGCATCCAATCTTTTCTCTGTTGTTCATGCTTAGAATCACTCTCACCAGCTCAAAGTTTTAAAAAACTCTCTGTTTACTGCTCAAGCCTGCCTGAATGACAATCTCGTGACAATGATGAGCAGTGGCATCGACCCTTTTGTGACTCCTTGGCAATCACTCCACATGACTCTCCCAGCATGAAGCGCAAAGTGGTTGAAGCACTACACGACAGAAGCGCTCTACATCTGCACGGGAGCAAAAGGACAAAAGGCATATTGCCATTGAAGCTTTTCGCTATACACCAGTCTTTAGCGGTAAGTCCGACGACTTGCAAGCCGACTCGTCACAGCACAAGCCGGCCGACTACATCGAGTATGAAATTGTCGTTGCATGCCCTCGCAACTAAGAGCAAGAGCGCTTGCAAGATGCGGAGTATGCCGCGCCCATCCCCCCAGCCGAGTAAGAAGCCAGAACCGCACAATAGGACAAGGCGGAGATGGAACCTAAGGGGAGGGCATTGCGGGGATTGTTCTAGCGGCACCTCTGGAGAAATAGGCAGCACCACGCAAGCAGGGTGTCACGTAATTGTCGTCACATCAGGTAGGCTTCGACAGCGATCATGAAGCGTTCAGCACTAGGTGGCCAATTGATTGATGAGAGTTATCTGATAATTATCTGAAGAACAAAAGAGAAGAAATGAATGCACACATGTCGAGAAGAAGGTCCGAACGAGTTGAGGTCTCTAGGTCTCTCTAGGTAATACAGCTTGAAACCAGGTAGGAAGGGAGGTCTGCAGACTGTTGTTTCTTCTTCCTAGACCACTGAGGGGTCCGGAGGATCTCCTATTCGAACGGGGACCCTTTGATGAGTCCGGCATAACTATTACTGGCCCGGGGACCTCGAGAGACTGAACTATCGATCTAATAGCCAGAAGAGCTATTTGATCGGGGAGATCAAGCTGATGTTGCTGACGTAGATGACTTACGCGGCCTTCAGTAAGTGGCAAGAAGTGCCCTCTTCCTGATAGAATGTATACTATACCTGAAAACAGGATATCAACTTGGGAGAAGCTCTTATTACGACTGGAACGTCTCCAGTCGAGGAGGCCTAGGGTTCCCCAGCGGAGAGCATCCTTAAAGAAGCTAAGGGGAAAACACTCATTATCGACAATGCACACATGCTACATCCCGGTAGTCGATCTGGCGACTCTCACAAATCCGATATTTTTCGCACCACCGTTATTGATCATAGGTTCCAAGAGACCTCGCCGTTCTTGGCCTATCTCTCCGCCTGCTCGACCGGTGCAAATGAGGTGGAGGGACTTGCTGAGGAGACAATCCACCTCATCAGTGCCTGCCAACTAGCGGGTTTCCGCCACGTTGTCGGAACGTTATGGGAAGTAAGAGATGAGTACTGTGTTGATGTGGCGACGGTCCTATATGAGACACTCAGGGACGAAGGCATGACCGACAGAGCGATAGCTCGAGGACTTCATCGCGCCGTCAGAGAGCTTCGAGGACGGGAGAGTGGTAATTCAGGCGGAAGGAGGAACGACCCTGACCCTGCTGTCATCGATGGGACGCATAATTCCGTGGACGTTGATGATCTTGGGGTTGAATTACAGGACGGCAATCTCGCTTCCCTAAAAGAAGTGTTGAGAAAAGGGAGAAATATCGTCAAGTGTGGTGGCAATCATGGGACAAGACAGGGGAACCCGTTGTCCTGGGCTCCGTATGTCCATTTGTCAAGATCAGACGCTCATTCACGGTGCTGCCTACTGCCTAATAGGCAGTCACGACTAGTCAAGCTGCTGCCTGCAGGAAGCAGCTGCCCTTAGTCTCTTTGCCACACAACAAGATGCACGGGCAGTATGGACGACTGAGCGGCGATCGGGAAGAAGATCCCCTGTGAATCGGGCAACGAAAGACTCTTGATTTATATCTAATGAAAGAAATATATCTCTCTTGTATACATGAATGGAGAGACTAAGGGCAGCTGCTGCCTGCAGGCAGCTGCTTGACTAGTCGTGACTGCCTATTAGGCAGTAGGCAGCACCGTGAATGAGCGTCTGATCTTGACAGATGCGAATGGATTTGAAGATATCCTGGAGGAGTTTCCGCAACCGAAGTTCGACTGTGTCAAGCCTTTTTGCAGAGAGTTGCGGAGCATCCTGTTTCCATACAGAGACGGGCTTTTCATCGGGACACCAAAGGATCCAGAAGTTCTCCATGGGTCAACTATCGAAGCTTTTGATAAGGCTATTGATGACATTATGTCACGCGCCTGTCACGAGCCTGTGGACCTAGGTCGCAGTGGGTGGCTGGTTCATTCCTTGCAGTGGCTAGACTAGCCACTGCGCCCCGTAGATATAAGGGCTATAGGATGACCACGGTCTCTTGGAGGAGTTCTTCAGAGATCAACAATTGCATCACTGGCCCCCGTTCTTCACTCTCTGTTTCGTCGTGATTGTGCGCCTTACACATTAACGCTATGGAAAGATAGGATGAGGTGTCCGTTGTTCAAGCAGGTAGTGCTCATCACGTCTCTGTATCTCTGTACCATCGCAAGCTTGCGACGCGAGCATACGTGGCTGCCCTGGCACTAGCAGCGGGCGACCCCGTTTGGCTTGTTCTACTCGGGTGGGATCACTCTGCGCTGGATTTTGGCTTGTAGAAGTTGCGTCAATGGTGCCACTCTTGGCCTTTTTGATCGGTCGACTGCGTTCTGGCCGGCGAATCGCATCTCCTCAACACATCTATTGCACCAAAAGTAGACGCGCGCTCCAACAAGTGGTGCACAATTGACAGTTATTGTTGGATCCACCTGTGCACTAGGCACCGATCGCGCACGTATAACTAATCGACCGCGCTAGTCACGTGCGAGTAAGAGGTGAGACACAGGGAGGAAGGTCTTTGCACACAGTTTGTATGGGACACGTTTCCCTAGTTACACAAGATATAACCAATTGAACCAGTTCGAATAACCTCACTGCAGTGAAGAGCCTGTCCACACTGATCAGTGTCGCCCGGCAAAGGTGACACAGAACAGCAAGACGGAAGAGAGCTAACCTATCGTCACGCTCTGCAAAGCGAGCTCCCTGACGGTAGGATAGTTGCTACAACGCGCGGATTGCTACGAAGACTCTGCATCAGAGCCCACTCTAGTTATCCAACCGTGCCTAAGCTTTGCTGTCATCAGCGACCCTTAGGCGTGCCCTATCGCACATTGATAACCTCATTGACACCCTGTGCCCTGTTTCTCAGCACACAGCCTGTCAATATGTCTGACAATTCATCTGCCGCACTAGCCCCGGCAACAGCCCAGGATACCCCGGCCAACGTGTCTCTCGAAGACAGGCAACTCGTTGAACGGAACCTGACGATCGTGGAGCTCCTTCACTCCCGATCAGGCATTTCGACGCGGATTTCCTCAACGAACCTATCACCCAAAGCTCCTCCCTTGTCCACCGCAACAGCTTCTTCTTAGGCTGTGTGGCAACATACACGGTGGAGAAACGTAACCACGGAATTGCCCTGCTTGGGGATCTGTATAACGACTTCACGGGATGGAGCTATGATGACTTCGAACTAATCAACCCACGCCTTAGATCAAGACTCCGGACGCTTCTCAGAATTAGGGGGATCTATATGGGCAAGGCCAACTCTAGCATCTCTCGAGCTTTATGTGGCCTTCTAACAAGTAACGAACTTCCTGAATGGGATGAGAACGAGTTGCTTGGTCAAGAGGTTGCTGAAAACACCGTGGCATATAAGGTGAAACAGAAGCTGCTCCAAGGAACTGTTAAAGCGGCTATATCGTCACCGGCACCGGTAGTAATCCAGCAGCCAACTATTACCCGACCGGCGGAACCGGAATCCTCAGATCATTGAGACCCATCAACCCGCTCAGCAAGAGCCTCAGCATCAATGGCGCGAATCCCTCGGTATCAGCAGACGCTCCCCGTACGGACTACCAACTTCCGAGATGCATACACGAGCATTCCACCTGTTCGATTCGAGAACGAGGAAGTTGAGGCCGATCTCACGATTAGATTCATTAAGATATGGGACAAGAAACTAGCCTATACCGGCGAACCATACGATATCTTCGATGACAAGATCCGGAAATTCATGAGCGTGTGCCGTCAAGCAAACATTCCTCCGTCTAAATTCCATGGTGTTTTCCCTTCGATTCTGGCCAAGAAGCTCAGTCCTTCTTTCTACACGAAATCAGCACTGATTTAACCTTCGCTGAGATGTATCAGAAGATGAAAGAGCACTTTGACACCGAAATCAACCAGAAGATGTATCATACCCACTGGAGCACCCTCACCTTCAGCCGACTTCGGGCTGAGATGCCCGGTAAGTCATCTGACGAGGTCCTCCAGGCCCTTCTTACGAAATTGCGGCTCTGTAGGAGAGCACTCGGGGATAAGTCTGGCGGCGAAGGTGGCCTGATCGATGCAACGCTCAGGGCGTGCCGTGGTGTGCCTGAATTCCGACTCGCGATATACTCTCCCGCACCTACATTTGAGGGATTGGCATCACAGCTTCGATCATCGCTATCTGCCATGCAAGATGAACGATCTGAACAACCCAGTGGCCAATATCCCCAAGACCTGGATAGAGGACATGATCAGCACTTCGTGGATCGCAAATTTCAGCGAAATTCCGGCGGAACAAGAGGTCAATCACAAAGGCGTCAGCCAAATTGGAAGAAGAAATGCTACGTTTGCGGCAAGGAAGGTTGTTTCTCAACGAGACATCCTGAAAACGAGAGAAAAGCAGCCAAAGAGAAGTATCTACGAGAGAGGCTTCCACGGTCAATCT